AAATTATATAAAAATTATAAAAAATAATTTAAATAATTTAAAAATTATAAAAATTACATTGTAAGCAGAATAAATTTTGACTTATTTCACAGTCATTATCAGCTGCTATGTATGCATCGCAGTCAAATGTTATAAGGTCAGAGATTGATCAATTATGGTACCATAACATAATATAATAATCATAGACACTAATTTTACAGTGGTGAATATAATATATAAAATTTTTAGTTCTTTTTTCTGTTTATGATTTTTTATGTTGAACTTGTTAATCGCACGAGTAAATGATTATTAAAAAATTCCTATCAAACCAAACGTTAAAAATAAACACTCTAATGAACAAATTGATATAAGAAAAAGAATCGAAAAACTTACAATCAATATATAATGACATCAACGTAATAAAATTCAAACTTTACGAGTACATCGCTATTCTCAGACTGAAAGTCTCAAAGAGAAACGAGAAGACACGTATAGGACAAAACAGTATAAAATAAACATTATAGATCGCACAAATATTAATAAAAATTATTGTTAGAGATTTTCTTGATTAAATTTAAATAAGAATTATCTAACATAGCGATAGTGTCATTATTTAAATTAATGTTATTAGTTTAAGATTTAATGTGAATTATTTCTGAAATTAGTCATTTATAATAATTGTAGTTCTCTGATAATAGCAGATAATGAAAATCGTGAGTAAAGTCGGAACCTATTTTGTTTATGATATGTAAAATTATTATAATCTTTTATTGCAATATAATATTTTTTTATGTACACTTGATATTTTGGCCTATTATTAAATTATATTTTTATGATTATTAATAAATACGTATTTATTCATCTCTTATCTTTTTATTAAAAGTGAAACCAAATAAAAATCTTCACGTGCCCATGCAGAGTATGTCATGCAAGATTTAACAATAAGAAAAATAGATTGTTTCAGGAAGATTAAACGGATGTGTAATACGTAAGTTCGGAACATATAAGGGAAAGTTTTTTGAGATGTAAAATATGATCGTCTCTTGCTCGCGCCCTTGCGGTCATGCGTTCTCCATGCGCTTGCATCCACCCCGTGATACTTATCATAGAGGGGATTGGCGGGGATTGTATTTGAAGAGCGACCGAGCGATTTCACCCCTCAAACGAGAGGTAGAAGCCACGGCTTTAACCGCGCGCGACTATCCTTTGACACACGAATCGCGTATCCTGTATCGACAGTTGATCGAGAACGTAACATTGTTTTGAAGAGGTGCATCTTGAAGAAATCAGAGTCCTATTACTCGAAAAGATCACGATATGAAGGTTGGTCATGTTAATTTTTGCACAATTTTATAAAATAGATAGAAATTAGGATTTGAAATTTGATTTTAAACTTAAGTGTATACACGTGATAACAAAGACAGTGATCGAAATTGATTTTATCTAATATGCAACGCTACTTTTGTAATGTATATTTTTTTTATACATATATTTTCTTAAAAATATTTTAAGATAAACACCATAAATTTAACGCATAGTTATGTTGATTTATAAAAGCATTGTGAAGTATTTTTTTATGTGCATAGTTGAATTTTCTTCTTTTATAATAAAATAAGTAATTTAAAACATTCTTTTATTAAAAATCGTTTTATTGTATATTGTGTGTATGATTTAAATCATATAATATAATATATGCATTTATGAAGTATAACTTAGAGTATTAGAACACTCTTCTAAATTTTGCATATTGTAATTTTTTTGTGATAATATATGTATATTAAAATTTAAAATACTTATAACATTAAGAGTATTGATAAGCATAATATTGATAATATAGTATACTAATAATATACGAATTAAATGCTTAATATG